GCAGTAATGTTTTTTAACAGGACACATACATACATATTTTTAAAAGAAACAAAACACAACAAAAACATGCAGTCTAAGCCACTGTACTGGACCAGACTTTTTGAATCTGGTGTAGATAAGAGGTTGGCCCAGACAACATGTGCACATTTCACAGAACTAAGAGCATTCTTTAGAAGGGATGTAAGCAACACTATTTGTTGAAGAAATAAAAAAAAAAAACAACAACCCAGCCTCAAAGAAAACCTTTTATGATGTGGGATTAAAAAGCTCATTATGTTAAGTGATATCAAACATGACCAGAAAAGACCCTAGGGAGAAATTACACTTCTTTATTGGATTCTGCAGGACAAACTAGCCTGGGAACTTGAAAGCACAGGGAAGGTGCACGTGGAAATCACATCATATATGAAGAATAATTTCTTACCGTGTGAAAATTATTTCAGAATAGTTTTCAGATGAAGTTTCTCTTTATGGCAGCCGTTTCAAAGGCAGCATACTGAGGCAATGACCTACAGTAGCACGAATACAATAGCTGCTGGATCACCTCCTTGCAGAGGTATGTGGTCTTAGTCTAGTCCTGTATCGACAGGCAAAATATAATCAGCACCGAAACTCGTAACAACAGAGGCTCAGCTTGAGCCTCTTACATTATTTTGACTGAAGATAATTTCAAAAGCTCAACTTGTTTTTTTAATTTCTATTAAATTTTTGATAAAAGTGAAATTGGGCCTGGAAAGAGTATAAAGAGGGAACTACTATTTCTTCTTCAGGAAAGACTGCAGAAGACAAAGGGATAGCATACAGAAACTCTGCTATGACTTTTCACGCTCCAGTTTGACAACCACACACTTCTCTAGGATTGCATCCTCTACAACCAAACAAAATGAAGAAAGAGTTTGCATTTTGTGATCCCATGGTGATGGTGACTGCCACCTCAGCAACAAACACCAACCACCATCATAAAGCAACCTGATGTAGTGGACTGCATCATCTGTTTCCTTGCTACTCCAACATCTGGCTAAGAAACAAAAAGTCAATAATTAAATAACTTTATTACATAAAATTGTATCTGTTCATGGATGTTTTAAAGGAAACTGCATTTGCTGTACCACGAGTCCCAGCTGCAAGGGAATTTCAAAACACAATACATCCTGGTCACCCCACATTTTTTTTTTATATATATATATATATATATATATATATATATATATATATATGTATTTTGTATTTTTCACAACCAGAAATGGCAGCCTGGCTTGGACCGACTTCTGCTGGATACATGGATATACAGAAAGCCTTGCACAAAATGAAAGGTACTGTCCTACACTAGGTATTTGGTATATATATATATATATATATATGTATATGTGTGTGTATATATATATACACAGCATTTGTATTCTGCACTCACAGCATCCCAGACAATGAAGTCAACACATAAACACCTCTGAACTTACATCAAAGCCCTACACTCTCAGAGTGCTTCTGGATGCCACAGAACTTCTCCACTGTTGTGATGTATTGCAGGCTGCTGATTCTGAAAATGTTTTTGAACCATCTAGGGCTTGATAGTTGAAAGGATAATTCCTCCTTAGGATTCCAAATGCTGGTCAGTTGTTCAAAATCAATTGCTTAATAAGTATTTTCTAAGTTATGCTCAATTTTCTTTCAAATCAGTACACTAGAGGGATGCACAGTATTTCCTATTTATGTAATTCAGTTTAGAAGCTTTCTAGGTGACATAACAAATATTGGAACAACTTAGAGTCATCTAGAAAGCTTATTTTCAGGAACCGGAATTTATTTAACAAGGGCTAAAAAACATCTGGAAAGGACAAACTTGGGTCCACGCATAAAGGACTTCCTATGACCTCAAGCAATGCGGACTAAATTTCCCAAAGCTAAAGCTACTGAAAAGCGCTGTGCATATTCTAGAACACAATACAGCAAGAGGCATTTTTGCATATCCTATTTTGGGAGACCACTGGCTAGGAACCACCCCAGAAATTTGCAAAGCAAGCTTGAGAATTTATTGTCCAGTTAACTCAAAACCAACTAAAAATGCTTATCCAGGTCCTGCAGTGTTTGCTTCAGCAAAAACAAAGGGTATTTTTCTCCAGATTACAGAATATAGGGACCATATGTCATGAAATGCTGAATAAATTTACAGATTATGTGCATCTCAAAATGTTAGTAATGAGTAACAAGCAAGAGCCATAAATCGTGCTTTGGTTCTCACTAAATTGTTAAAGCCAATGTCTGTTAAATGTAACAATGATACTCAGTTAAAGGTCTCTTTGTATCCACCCAGTGAGTCATCAGTAGAGAAGACTGAGGAAATATGAAGTTTTATTTTACATCAGTTTTGAAATACAGCATTTCCAACCTAATTGACTCTATGATTCTCCATCCTTCCGTGCAATTGTCTTGAAAGTTCATATTGAAATGGTCAGCTTTTTTTTCACTTTTGATAAAATATTAAATAAAATCCTGAACCCTCCAGGTTCTGATTTGGCCCAGAGAAAGCATTTAAGGAGGCAATCTGAAATCTAGCTGGATAGCTCTGCTAAATTCCTAGCCCTAGCATCTGAGCCCTGGATTTTGAGTGCTACAGCTTTAAGCCCTCACAACTTCTGCAAGCCTTTCTTTTTCCTGGTGCTCACCATTGTCTTTGCTCCTTACTATACATAAAACTGCAAAGGTCCTGCATGCAATCCTATACACTTTTCAGAACTGGAAGGTACATATAGGTGGAGTACTGTATTTCTAAAAGATTTCTTTCAACACTTATAAAATTCCCTTTGTTAATTGCCCCCAAAATAGCTTTTGACATTTTTGACTTCTCCCTTCTTTTAAATGTCTGTGTTACTGGGAATTTCTGAATAATATTATGATTAAACTATTCATGAAAGTTGTGTTATTCATTAAAATCCTATTACAGCAGCTACAATCCCATCTTCCTGCAGAGTCTGCTGTATCTTGACATACAGACCATAACTACACCAACAGCACTGAGCCTACTGCATCTTTATTACTTTGAGAAGTTCATTCCATTACAAACAAATAAAATAACTGGCCCGTTTAAAAGTGCATTTTAAGTATGGGAATTCTGTCACAAAATTTATGTCAGAAGTCCTCATTTCTTTATTATGGCACAATCTCTATCAATAAACTTTTGCCTCAAACCATCAAAAAACCTGATCCACTAAGCTGAACACCAATGAAGTTTTTAATTTCTGATACTGGGTCTAACTTCTGATTATAACAAATCTTAATTAGAACACATAAGTATTGTGGAAAACACTGTTCAAATCAGCAATAATTATTATTATAATATTTAATTATACATAAATAATTTTAGGAGTGACTTGTAAACTTTTTTGAGAACTAAAAGGGCAAAATGCTGTGGGTAAATATTTTTATTTAAATGATTTTTTATTTAAAAGCATGTGGTTTCATGCACAAAATGTGTTGTACTTACACAAAATACTGCATTACAACTGAACCTAAGTGTTCACATGCTATACCTCTTGAAAAAGGCTAACATTTCTTCTCAGGCTTGCACTGACACCTACTGGAGAATATTTGGAAAACTCAAAATCCATAGCCATGAGATAACAGGAAGCTTTTTCTACTTAGGAGTGAACTATATATGATTCAATCAACTGGGTAATTATGCCATCTATTTGCTATTTAATTTGACTACCGAAAAAAAACCCGCAAACCCTCTACAGTTTCTGAGAAAAGGTTTAACAAGCCATAAATTAAAATACCAGTGAAGATGCAATGTTCCAGCTGCAGTTATGGAATTTTTCTACAAAAAGTATTACCCAGTGTTAGCATAGAAAGAAGAGTAAGAGCAAGTAAATGAGTTTTCTAAGATAAAAAAAAAAAAGATAGGCCTTAGATATAACATCCCAAGGAGAACACCAGATCTTGTTAAAACAAGGCAGTTAAAAAACAAAAGAAGCCATTATTTCTTCAGTTCCTCAGTTTCTTATTTCCCCTAAATACAGCAGGAGCAGATCTCATATAGCAGTTCCAAGAAAGATACCAGTTACTTGCTATGTATTCATTAGAATAAAAAGACTAAGAAAATATTTCAGAAAATATTCCAATATGCTGTTACCTGACACCCAAACTCACTGCAGTTACAAAAGAACAGTAAAACTTACTGTTCAGTATAATAAATAGCACCAATAGTTAAGTGAAAAGTTCTACACACAGTCTGGCACAAAGATGGATTGCAAAACTCAGCTGCCATACTAGAAGTTTATGTGTGGAGGAACTTTTCTAGCTCCTACTGGAATCCAATGCAAACTTCTATAGCTTTTAACAGGGATTAAATAAACTCTCAAGACTTTTAAAACTATGAAATTCAGTCATGCAAATATTGCAAGGTAAAACATGTTCTTCATGCACCAATGACATAAACCCAACTTTTAAATTAATTTTTATATTTCTCCTGTACAGCAGAGACTAGTGAATAATAAGAATTTGAATCTCACAAAAAGAGTCCCACTGTGGAACTATTGTGTTCACACAGACCATAGTCCCACCTTGCTAAAAAACTACTGAAGATGGATCATTTTTATCCAATAGATATGTTCAGTTTTGACACATCAGTGTTGTTTTTTTTTTTGGGGGGGGGGGTTGGGGGTGTAGGGGAGTTTAAGCATTTGGACAGAAAAAACAGGTTTTCCTCTAAATGTTGGCAAGTTGCTTCAAAGACAATGAAGCATTTCCAAGTACCTTAAAACCTCCAACATATCATATAAAAAAAGGTGAAAGTTTCTGAATAAAGAATTTCAGCAACACAGTTTTCAGGCAGTCCCCACAATGAATAAGAGTGGGCCAACAGGCAGATACAGACTATGAAAAAAGTGTTTTCAAATAATCTTCAAAATAAAAATACCTGCATCGTTATAAAAGATGAACACATTTTTTAGTGCTGGTATTTAGAAGCTTTCCAAAGAATCAGGAGCATGTATCCCAGAAAATTTTGGAAATACCAGTTTATTTTCCAGTGAATATTCAACTTGCAACACTTGTAATCATTGCTTAAGAGCCCTAAAATTGGCAAAATACTAAAATCTACAGCTCCAGTGTACAGTTAATTAGATATCGAAATCTTAATAAAAATTATCAGTGCAAAAGTAAAAATTAATTCAGTATGCAATGAAAAGCATTTTGTTGTAAAGATATGTGGGCTTTCAGCACATATACATCAAATAATCTTCCAAGAGAGAAGCAGTTTTCAGTCTGTGCTCAAAACAATCAAAACTATTCCACACTCAACTCTGAAGACAGGCAAGAACTAACTTTTTAAAGTCTGAGCTTTGTTACAACATTCATCATGGGTACATAAGCTGAAAAATATTACAGAGGTCACCTTCTATTCAAATAGGGTTTTTCTAAAAGAGGCTTTCCTATTTTTCATGTGTGGGATACTTTTGAGACATCTACGTTTTTTCCATCCACAACAGAGAATTAACAACATTCCAACATGCCCCAGCGTCGGCAAGTCCTCTTTCCAGTCCAGATACACGATGATGATTGATGAAGCTGTTGGGCCTACAGTAGCAGGCAGAGCAGCTTGGCAGGAATTCAGTGTTATTGAAAGAAATCTCAAATACTTATTCCATCTCCTCTACTAACTTTAATCACACTATCAACAGGCTGCCAGGAACGGAGCCTTGACACGAAGCCATAAACTTACACAAGCAACCATTGTTGGCATATTACTGTTGCAATACAGGTAAAGGGTAAATTCTGTTTATTTTTACCTGTTTCCATTCTATATTGGACACCAGCTAAATTATGGAAAGATATTTCCTGTACTAACGGTTAGCTTGCAGCGTATTTCATTAAGGGACTATGTCTCATTTTGCTTGGTTAATGAACTGATTAAGTTAACTTTTTCAGTTACATTGCTGTTAACTGCAAGTTGCAAATAAAAGGAAGCAAAAGGAGTTTCACACACCCTGTAAGAGTAACAGTTACTAAGAAAGCAGATCAGTATTACAGGTATTTTACTAATCTGCTCATTTGTTATACTGATAAAGCAACGAAAATCTTTCCTCAATTGCTTTATAAAGTTCTGACAAGCTTATCCTTAGTAAACCAATAACATGTCAAATATTTAAGGTAAATACTGTACTAGCTACAAAGCTAATACAAAGACCAATATGTTTCTCTTGATTACTTTTGAGCTTGTTTTGGCTTTGCTTAGAACAGTAAAGCTTAGAAAGAGAGGACTGAGACATTTACAGGGAGAGAAAAGAAACTGTTGTCCAAGCTCACTTAGTCGACTATTTTTATGTTAGCAAAAACCCACTGAAATCTCAACTCTACTTCATAATACTGAACATACAACCCAAAAGCTGGAATTAGAACTGGATTTAAAACTCTGTTGAGAGTTGCTAAAGCTTCAGAATAAAACATTCTGTAAAAGAGGTTGGTTTGCCTGAAATCTATGAAAGGGCTTTATGGTTTTCCCAATGACTTCTCAGCTAACTATGGCTGGAACCTATTACACCTACTTTTTCGGAAAGAGCTGAGGCTGCACACTGGGCTAGTTAATGTTACATTAGTCTCTCTCTTCCCAAATGATACGATAGTCTCTGCAGATGGGAGAGAATTCCAGTTTGCAATTCCCTGAGCCGATGCAGTCACGCAATGTAATTTCCAGTTCCACCTTCCAAAAACCGAAGAAATACTGGCATTCCACCTGCCCTGAACAAAACAAGCATAGATAGGCACTTAAGTTGAAAGTATGCAAAGCTTTTCTTCCCATACCAAACCTGTAGAGGAAGGTCTTTTTCTTCTGTGTTTCAGCTTTCCAAAAGAATCACAATCTAAGTCAGAAGCAACTGAGTGTTGGCACAAACCCAGCATTATTAAAAAAGAAAGGTCTTAAAAATGAGCGTATTTGGCCAGTTCCTTCTCCATATCAGAATACTGCTCTTTGAGGCGCTCCATAGCTTTTCTGTGCTCTTCATCCACCTCTGCTCTTTTGTTTTGTTGTTCTTCCATGAATTCCTCCCAGTGGGCTATGTGCTTTTCTTCACGAGCCATCAGCTTGTCTGCCTGAAGCTGAGAGAAGGAAAATGTGGAGTTTTAACAATCATTTCCATATTGAAACAGAGGGTTTGATGAGAGCTACATAATGTTCAAGTGCCAGAGAAACTGGACTTTTACTTCAGCAGAGGAAAGTGAAACTAGCAAAAAAACAGATGAAAGGGTAAAACTAAACAGAAAACATTTATTTTTATAAAGTATAGTCCATCAAAAACAAACAGTAAAATGTCTCTGATAATATTAACATGACAGCATTCATGACGATAGCTTTTCTATACTATACTGGTGAAAAATAAAAAAAAAAAGCATGGAAAGACTTTAAAATTATTAGCTTGCCTAGCTCATTTCTGTTGGTTTCTAAAGGTCGTACTTTGCATTATTTGTTCTTCTGATTACTTATGATGTTATAAATACTGTACGCAGCTGATATAAATCCATATTATCTCATTAAGATTTGTTTTTAAATTCCTATTTTGGAAACAGTGTTTAGTGGTTTTAGCCCCTTGGTTATGTGGAAAAAAAAAACCAAATCAACAACCAAACAGCAAACAGACACTGCTCTCCCCCAACCCGCCCTTTTTTTCTTGCGTTCACACAGAAAGAAGCTGTCTTCTGACAAAGACAGACTTAGGGATGTCCACTGTTCTGAAAGTAACCAAACCAGATATAATTAAAAAAGAACTAAAAAACCCCAACAAAGCACATCTAATTTTTAATAAGTGGTCTTAAAGATTTCACAGCAAGTATGAGCAGGCCTATGTTGTATATATACTACTGACTAAAAATACGCTGGACACATTATTGTGTCCAAGTTATGAGGAAAACACTAGGCCCACTATATTTTATATTTGTGAGTGCTAGACAAAATTTTATAAAGTTATGTATGTCTATTATTTAGGTACATATACATTACCAGAGATTAAAGGACACACTTGAACATTCAAGACAACATTTGAGATTTTATGTCAAATATGCATAAATAAAATGCTTATCTGCTTCACAACAAATTGCTATGGTTAATAACACTCCTACAAATGATGTCAGCCAATCCTTCAACATACCGTTCCTCTTTTCTTGACATTTGCTACTTTCCCCTTGAATATACGACTAGTTGAAACAAAATTATCTTCTACATTCTTGAATACATTTTTAAAGGAAGAAACAAACTACATTTCTATTTTACCACATAATAAAATAGTTCAGCATAGGCATCAGATACTAGTCTTGATGAAAAGCCTCTAATACAAAAAGGAAAGAATGAAATGGAATATAACCACATAGATATTAAATGTTTTGAAACTGGCAGTTAGTGTTTCTGCTTTAGCCAGCTAGCCCTCACTGTGATTAATGTCTTCCTTTATAAATAAGTTATTTTTTCCCCTCATGTTTTCATACTGCTTGGCTTCTGGTACGTCTGATTCCTTTCATTCTCTTATCTTGGGGGAAAAGAAAAAAAAAACAACAGCTATTTAGGAACAGAGCTCATACACACATTCAATATGCATGTCAAAATGAGATGTACTTCTGTACTATATGATTCCTTGCATACAGTATTAACAGTCTCTCCTCCTTATATTATAAATGCTGATGTCACAATAAATGTAGGCAGTTGTTCTTACATTTGCTCCATCTTCCAGCAAAAAAGATTAGTCTTTCTCTCCCCCACCTTTTTTCTCCTTTTTGATATATCAACAATGACTACTTTCTATGTACAGTACTTCTGTGTGGGAATAAAAACTATCATACAGCTTTTACAGACATCTGGAATTTTTGTCAACACAATGAGAACCCACTTATGCATTCTTCAATACTATGTATTTTTCTTCAAAATCACAAACCATGTGTGAAATTCACCATTTTTGCAATGCAGCATTTCATACACATAGTAGCAATATTATGCAGAGATCCATTTTGTTTGCAACAGATGCAATATTTGCTACTAATAAAATACATCAGTGGATACTAACAGTTTTAACTTGTACACTACTTCACACTCAACACATTTTGAAACTGTCAGGCATCACACACTTTTTGACGGGATTACAGAGCACCTACCCAAACCACACTTTGGCTAGACTAACCCATGCTCCTCAGAACATGAACAGTTTGCAAGGAATATAAAATTTATGTTGCTACTTTCTACTTTCATTTTCTACTACACTATATCTAACCAAGGATATAAAGTGATTTACCTGTTAAAACAACCTAAGACACTGCTAGAACATGAGATAGCAAAGTTCAGTTTATCAAAAATCTGTGGTCTAATTCCTTTCCCTGCTCAATCAGTCTTTAGCTTGTTCTAGCACAAGAGAAGTGACATTGTGAAATAAAGGGGTATTAATGGCCAGACTATGTACATTGCCTAATCTATGCTTACATAAAAATTTAAACAGTTGAGTACTGAGAAGCAATTGTTGTAAGTGCTTGTTCTCTTAAGTACATAAATGCAAGCACCTTTCTATTGAAACAGTAATTATTTTTTTTTTTTTTGTGTTGGAAATAAAATAACTCCATAATTGCAATTTACACCTTTAACAAAGCAAAAAGTGGCACCATCTCTGGAGCTAAGGTACTAAAAGGCTTCCCTCATCTCAGCTTTCTCCACTATCTTGTAACAGCTTTAAGATAATACTTTTTACTGTGATGAAGAAGGAAATAATGCTTGCATGTCTGAAAATGCAAATACAGTTGCATTAGAAAGCACCCCTTTTTCCTCCTTAAAAAAAAATATATATATAAATGAAAAAGTAGTAATTCAGTGTTAATTTTCATTATTTTTAAACTTTCCAGAGTAAGGCTTAATTTTAATAATTCCTACCTTTGTCATTTCAAATGACTGCTAAAACAAACAAATCTGTAAAATAACTATAGTATAAACTCACAAGTAAAAAACCTACACAAACAAGCTGTTTTCATATTTAGTTGTATAAATATACCAGTGCATGATAACAAGACAAAAGACAATATAAAGATCCCATATTCAGGCTTCAGAACAACACATTTTGTTCTTAGGTAAATCCTCGTGTCTTTTGTAACATGGAAAAATCGCCATATGAACTAAAGTATCCAGACAGACTTTCCTGAGCCAAGAAGAAGCCTTACGTAACTCACAAAATTGTATGGTATTAGTACAATATTAAGCTAGGAGGCGAAAAAATTGTTAGCTATATATTGCAATGTTTTAAGCATTAGACTGTCCAACGTTTCCTGCCATGCTGTAAATTTCTATGTGAACCAAAAAACTGTTCAACTGTCAGAAACAGTACATTATGGTTTAGGCTTTTACTATCTGTGTTAGTGACCGGCACTTGCTACCCCTCTACTGCATAGAAAAAACCCCACATCCTTACCCCACCTGCAAAGAATTACAAGGTAGTACAAATGGTCTTTCTCTATAGCTGTTAATTTGTCAACATCTGGATAGATGGTTTTTGCTTATTTAATCACAGAATCATCTCCTCAGCTCTGAACACTCTTAGAACTCCAGCTCTATCCTCCTATTAAGTTTCCAGCTCCAGACCAATACACCAATACAGCTTTTATCCTGTCTTTGGTGGTTATTCATTCTTTCTGCAATTCCTCTTCTCCAAACAGTGTTTCAGCTGTACTACTGGAAGTTCCTTCAGTCACCCAGCAGAACATAAGCCATAGCAAGCTGTTAAATTTCACTTTTCACACATAAGCTGAACATTTGGCCCAATTTCTGTCTTTCAGTATAACTTCGTAAATACAAGGGTTTGGGAAACTCAAGCTGAGCTTATTATCTGTTGTATGTTTATAACAATGCCGACTACTTTTATGAGTAATTTCTTTAATAAGATATTTAGACATCACAAAATTTGGAAGATTTTCAGCTTTCATGTTCATATAAAAAGTTGACAATAGTTCTGAGTTAAAGTTCCATTATCTGGTTTAGATAAAAGCCAAAGCTTATCTAAATTACAAACGCCGTTGCTGCCTTACTGATTCCTGTTCTGGGAATTCCTTTTGGTGTGTTAGCAAATTTACATATTTTGGCAGTGACATCTTTCATATTCCTTTTATATCAACAACTCAGTTCAGACATTCGTTATTTGGAAAAAATCTAATCTGATTATGAAACCATATTTCACTCAGTAGCGCATACTGCTTGAACCTGAAAGACAGTAAAGCCTTCTTGTATATAGTTCTGACTCATCTGATTTAGTTGTATTTATTTCTATCCTTGTTTTACTCTCATTGGTTATGCAAAAAATTAACATTTTTAAAATCATGGATTTTTTCAGGAAACTCTGATTTTAGTATTAGTTGGGCTATTTTTGCTAGCATTAAGAAACACAAACAAGACCAAAACCACATTTGTAAAACCCCAAACCAAAACCACCACCATCTGTGCAAGACACAGACTTTGAGAACTGTCACCATACTAGTTCATACTACAACCAATAAAGAAGACTATAATGGGAAGTGGTAGATAGCTTCCAGTATAAGCCTATACACTTCTAAATAAAATATTAACAATAATAATAAAAAAGAATATAGTACACAAAACCAGGTTGAACTACTAACTGAATATTACTGATCTGGATGGGAAGACGACTCAATGAGACAGGGATTCTATGAATGCTTCATTCAATGACACCCCTGTAATCAGACATCACTTTATACCTTAAGTGATAATGTGGTAGGGACAACATAATTTCCCTTTTTTTACTTGTTGATATCAATAGCTAAAAGGAAGTGTAAGAAAAAAAAAGATACTTAGTAAAGAAAATTATCTTAAAATTCATTCCATTCAGCAGACATTGAACTAATTTCACTGAGGGCTGCTAACAGTAATCACTTGACACTAAATCCCACCAAAACTGCATTATATTTTCAGAACACACGATTTCAGAAAGGAAAGTAAGGAAAAAGTATTTTAAAAGTAAGGAAGAATTATTTCTCCTCAAATAGCACTATAATGACATCTCCCATCCATAATTTTTAAGAAAGTTACCTACCTGACACTACTCACATTAGGAAACTTTCAAGCCAAAAAGTCTTATTACACAAGCTTAAGGAAACAATATTAATCCTGAAAAGCTATTAGTATTCCTCCACTGCATACAAAAAGCCCCAAACCAAACCAAACCAAACAACCAAAACAAAAAAGAGTGAAAACATACAGCTAATATTTTTAAAAGTAATAGTTACCATTCTTATTGAGTGTTCATTCTATAAGTTATAATATTTCATTAAACTTTTACTTCAAACAGTAGCAGAACTGTAAAGAGTTTCCTATTTAACCTCCCTACCAGTATCTTTGCTAGTGTTAAACACAAGCAAACTTTGTCAGGGTTCAGTGGCATGCTATTCGCACAGTATGAGTATTCAAACTGCAACTGGACTGCCCATCTTCATCAATTACAAAAAGGAAAGAAAAACACAACTATCAGCTTACATAAATCAATACTCAGCCTGTTTTGCATGATGGCCACAGAAATGTCTTCAGTTTTTCTGAACTAAACGATTATAAATAACATTTTGCAAGTACAAAGATAACATAGGAACACAATCATGAAGGAGTAATGGGAAAACATGTAACTAATTTCTTGTATAATTTTCCAAATTTTAGATTCAGAGCACATGTATTTCAAATGCGCAAAGTGTAGCCAACTGAAAAGATTCCAATGATTCGCATGTTCCTATAATATAGCCCTTCATTAAACAACCCATCCACAAGTGAAAAACACACTTCCTTTTCAACAAGCAACATATATAATATGGTCAATGTTCTCAGCTAACTAGGAAAGATTTACATTTCCATTCTGGTAGGTTAGTAGGTGTTTTTTGTTCCACAGAAAATATTTTTTTTTTTATATTTAAGCTTTCCTTGTATGTGACAAATATTATAGTCTGAGCTAGGAGGGAAAATAAAGCAAAGGAGATATATATATATAAATTGTTTCCATGTATCAGGAGATTGTAGGAAGAGCTAGTGATCCATTAACTCTGCAGTTAAGAACTTACATGTCCCTGCAGTATGTGTTTTATGAGTGAGAAAACCCTCCAAAATAAGTTTTACTGCAAGTATATAAAGTATAGAAAAATACGCTTTTAAGTTTTGCTATACTGAAGGGAGATACTGCTGTAGAAGCATAAGACTCTTACTTAGATCACATTATAAAAATCTACCCAACCATCCTTTACCTTCCTCTCTTCATGCTCCTTCTGTTGGAGTTTATGGATCATACCATTGGCAGCTTGCACTGAAATAACAAATTGCAGTAGATCAGTCTGCTGTTCTAAATAAAAAAAAACAAAACAAAAACTCGCTTGAAAGGGATTTAAAAGACATGAGGCCACTGCAGGTCAAAGATCATATTGCACTGCGCCACTTAACTGCACAAGAAAGATTTGTCAGTACTTGCGAAAATTATACTGGTAACTGTACGTAGGCTTATTCGAGTTCAACCCTTGTGCATTCTAGAAGCCAAAAAGAGAAAGGCAGCTAGGTCCTCTTGCGCCCAGATGCCTTAGTATTGCTGATGAGCTAGAGTGCACTACTCAGCACCTCAGAAGACATAAAAAACATCTCAAGTCAGTAAGTAGAAACAGCTGAGCAAGCTCCATGTTTTAGTTGGGTTTTGTTTCTTATTTTTTCCCATCAAATGCAAAAAGTGATTTAGTATAAATGATCTACATGGAGAATATCTTTATGCTGGAGTCAGCATCTTCTCTAATGAGACTAAGCCTAGGAAAACTCCTCAATGGAAACAGGAACAGTGTTCCTAGGGCGTTTTTTTTTCCCTAACTTACTTAATGCCTAATTAATGCAGAATCAAATAAACTAATTACAACAAAGCAAAATCTTCCCACTTCTCCCACTAACACATCTTGGTATCAAGAAATACTTTACTTATCAGCATCTTAAAGCTGGTGACTTCTCACACCAGGAGGCAGGCTCCTGGCTCCTGAGGACTTCCAGTTACAGAACAGGCTCACTGCCTTTCTAGCTGATGAGGAGCTGGGAGCACCAGGAACTGGAGCATCTGGTTGCTCAGCCTGAGCCATTCAGGGCATGAGAAGACAAGTAATAGTTGTAGCAGACTCCCTACTGCCGGGGACAGAGGCTTCCCACCTATCAATATGTTTTGGCATCAAGAGGTTTGCTGCTTGCCAGGAGCTCACAATCAAGATGCTGTAGACAGACTACTGAGGCTCAGACTATTACCACTGCTGCTCTTCCTTATAGATTACTGCAGAGGTGACCTGAGAAATACCAGAAATGACCACAGGGATCTGGGACAGTCAAGGCATGAGGATCTGGGTAATGTTCTCCTTAAGTTTACTGGTGAGGGGGACCTGATGGACTTTTGGGGTTAAAAATTGGTTGCACAGTTGGTGTTGGCAGCAGGGTTTCAGTTTCTACATCCATGAGATTCATTCTGAGCATCAACAGCTATTTGGAATCTACATGACTAAAGAGGGCAAAAGTACCTTTGCCAAGAGGCTGACCAACCAGGTAGGGACAGCTTTACCCTATAAAATAACAGGTGAAGGAGTGATTCCTCAAAAACAGAAAAAAACAAAACCAAAACCAAAAGTAAAGCTGTGGATAAGGTAGACAAATTGAGGGTCTGGGATGATGGTAACAGAAAGGACATAGCACCCTTTTCAAGGATCACTTCATCCAAGCTCAAAAAAAGACTCATCCCAACAATCAGGAAATCGAGCAAAGACACCAGGAGGATGTATGCATGGAACCATTCTTGTATGAACAAGGAGCTTGTAACTGAATTCAGACTGAAAAAGCAAGCATATACGAGGTGCAAGCCCGGGCAGGTGACCCAGGAGGAGCATGAAGTTTCTGTATGATCTGCAAAGATAGGACAGGAAAGTCAAAGCTGATCCAGAGCTGAATCTGGCAATGGATGCAAAAGGCAACATGAAAGGATTCTAAAAGTATGTAATCAGCAAAAGGAAAACTAGGGAAACTGCAGGGAACTGGGCATGGAATCTGCTGAATTACTCAGGGGAGCTGGTGACAAAGAACATGGAAAAGGGCAAGGTACTCAAAGCATACTTTCCCTTAGTCTTTAAGATAAAGACCAGCCTTCATGAATCCCAGGCCCCTGAGACCAGAGGGGAAGTCTGGAGCAAAGAAGACTTACTGTTGGTGGAGGAGGAGCAGGTTAGGGAGCATTTAAATAAACTGGAAATATGTCCACAGGGTCTGAGGGACAACACAGCTTGTGTCCACAAGTTTTGAGGGAGCTGACAGTATTGTGAGGGCACTCTCTCTCTTTGAAAGGTCACTGCATCTGGGAGAGGTTCCTGAAGACTTGATCCTTCAAGGAACTTGAATCAACAAGGACAAGATGGAAGATCAGAGAACACTGACCAGTCAGCCTCACCTCAATCTCACGAAAGGTGATACAGAAAAATCCTCCTGGAGGCAGTTCCAAACACATGAGAACAAGAAGGTGAACAAGTAGTCAGCATGGATTTAGAAATGGGAATTCATCCTTGAACAGCCTGATAGCCTTTTATAATGCAGCAGTTAGTTTGGTTGATGGGGGGAAAGCAGCTGATGTTGTTTACATCAGCTTCAGTAAGGCTTTTGACTGTCTCCCACAACATCATCACTGACAAGTTAAAGTACAGGTGAGATAAGCGGACAGCGAGGTAGAATGAAAACTGGCTGCTAGACTCTGTGATCGGCAGCACAATGTCAAGTTGGAGGCAAGTCACCAGCTGTTTACCTCGGAGATCAGCACTGTGGCCAACAAGTTTAATGTCTTCACCAGTGACCAAGATGCTGGAGCAGAGTGCACCCTTAGCAAATCTGCAGACAACAGAAAACCAGGAATGGCTGAAAGACTGTATGGTTGTGCTGCCATTCAGAGAACAACTGGACAATTGGGCTGAGAGGAATCTTACGAAGTTCAACACACGGAAACGACAAGTCCTGTATCCAGGGAGAAATAATCCCAAGCAGGAGGACCAGCAACACAGGCCACGTCTGTGGTACTTTGCCCAGTAAATAAAAAGAGATGGAGTTACTGGAGCAAGCCCAGCACATGGCAACAAAGACAATTAAGGCACCAGAGCATCTCTCATATGAGGAGAGGCTGAGAGAGCTGGGACTGTTCAGAGTGGAGAAAAGGTGGCCTGGGGGGGGAACTCATCAGTGTGAATAAATATCTGATTGAAGGGAATGAAGATGAAGGAGCCATACTCTTCACTAGAGTGCTGACTGCCAGGACAAGAAACACTGGGCTCAAACTGAGACACATGAGATTACATCTATACAGAAGAAAACACTTTTTTCTGAGGGTGGTCAAACACTGGCACAGGTCACCCAGAGTGCCCATCTGTACAAATATTCAAACCGCAACTGGACACAGCCCTGGACAACTGGCTTTAGCTGCTCCTGCTTGAGCACGGAGGTTGGACAAAGTGATCTCCAGAGGTCCCTTCCCACCTCAACCATTCTGTGATTTAGTAATAATAATGTATTGCACAGCTGACCATTAGGAACTCAGGTAGTAATATCAAAGGTTTACTCCATTCATTCCTTATTTGCATGACTAAATTTTAAGTTTCAAATATTTTCCTGCCATTATTTTGTGTGCATAGTATCACCTACCATCTGTTATTCTGCATATGCCAGATGCCATATAAATCAAATATATGAAATTGAATGCTTATACAATATGCTATACATCAAATATAACAAAACCCACACTGGCACGTTTCAACTGCATAAATTTGGCGGCTAAAGCTATACCCCCTTGAAATACCTTTTTCAGAAGCTATCCTCCTGAATGAGTAAAGAAAAAAAAAGCTACTGAAAAATTATTACAACAAATTTTAAACTTTCTTCTAAAATCTGAGCAATACGAATTATATTGGATGGTTATAAAGATGAAACTAGGATTAACATATAACAATTATTACTACTACTCTATTTGTGACTAAAGATTATAACAATAGCACATTTCGTAACTATAGAGCAGCAAGTTTTGTTTTAAATCATGGGTACAGCATTATATTCTCCCATGGAAAGAGACTTGAAAGTCACACCATGTCACACTTGCAACAAACCAGAAAACTGAAATTTTATCCATGGCTTTAGCCAATATGGAAACCCATCCTGTTTCTAAGTGAGACTGAAATGAAATAACTTCTACTTCAATCAACAAAAAGCTTTAACATGACTTTAACAAGAGCTGTGGTGGCTGAACCAACAGATATAAAAAAAAGTCCTCGTTTCCTTTTCAAAATCTCACAGAAATGACAACAAAACACATAAATGGTAGAAAATTTATCCAAGGGTGGTAATTTTTCCACAAATCATATTTTGGATCCAAACTATTTAAACTGTTCTTCAAAATAATGCAACAACAGAAAGAAGAAGCAACATGCTTACATTTCTTGAATACTTCATTCAAATTGTCACTCATTGCCTGCTCACACTTAGGAAGAATGTGTTCATTTGTGTCAAAGATTGTGTTCTTCAGATTTTCAAGTACTCGTAGTTCTCGGAGGCCACGTTTTTCCTGTCAGAAGAATTAAAAAAAATGAGTGGCTAACAAGGAATTTCCACTTTCCAAAATAAGTTGGTTTCCCAGTTGATAAACTAAAAGCTTTATCTCAAAGACTATACCATTGTCTATTAAAGTGTTACTCAGCTCAACTGATAAGATTAGTTTTATAAAAAAATAAAAATAAAAAGAGAGTAATGCTCCATTCTTCAACTAAAATGTAATAATATGTTGAATGACATTTCTGGCCCTTATGAGATACTAATGGAAACATTTGTGTGGAAAAATGCATTTTTTGGCATAAATCATTTCCAGCATATCAAGAAGAACAGGAAGAAACAGAGCTTGAAAGCACTGCGTTTTTATAACTCATTGTCACAGAGAAATAACACAGCAGTGATTCTCCTTGCTTGATGTCTGACCTTACAGAGTTAGCAGATATCTGACCATACAGATTTACAAGGTTAAAATAATGTGAGTAAAATTATTTTTACTGAAGTAAAGCAATGACGTCAAGACTAAGAAAATAACATAAGACAGCTGACTAAAGAGGCTCACTGCTGATCATAATTACAAGAAGAAGCTGTGCTTGCTTTATTGTTTATATAAAAAAAATCCAAACCCACTCTTTTTCTGAAGCCACGGCACTACTCCCACCCTGAATTTCACCTGCATTTTCACTTAAGACAATGGAAAGGATTCTAAAATCTCCTCCAGGTTATGACTACAGTTGTACACAAGCATTCCTGTACTGAAAGCTGTGAATCATAAAGCAATTTTAGATAATCAAAACATACTGCATCACACAAAGTGAGCAACTGGAACACCACACCAGTTTTAAAACTTCAGAAACACAGGCACAGACAAGTAAAGCCACTTAATTAAACAGGCTCCAGAACTCCTGAATACAAAGCTACGTACTTTACGCACTAGATGCTAATTATTGAAAGAAAAAGCATATGTCCTATCCTACTGCAACCAAAAAATATCTGGTATCTCCAAGTTAGAAACAAGTATAATCTTTCGAAGAAATTTTAAGTTGCAAAAACGTAAATAATCCTCTGCTTTGCCTTCCCCTCCCCGCCTCGCCTGTCCCCTTTGAAGTATACACCAGAAATTAAAGAAAATATCTAAGAGAATACGAAACTTGTCTAAGAAATAGAACAAGACTTTGGGTGCAACAAGAGAAATGTATCATAGAATGGCTTGGGTTGGAAGGGACCCTAAAGATCATCTAGTTCAAAGCCTACTTCCATGGGCAGGGACACCTTCCATTAGATCAATTCTAATTTTATAATTGAGTTGAAAATTTTTCTTTCTCTGAAAAGCCATTTAAAGCTGTCTAGTGTATCGTAGAACTTGTTTAAGGCAAGCAAAAAAACCAGCTCATTCCTTCTGGCTCTCAAGCTCATACACCACAGATCTGATGAGACTTTGGTTGTTCATATATGTATTTTGCCAGTATAGAGACAAATTAAACCTGCTTGAAATCCTAGAAATAATCGGGGCGGGGGGGGGGGGGGGGGGGGGGGGGGGAGATATTTTATTGTTTCTTTTTCTGTGTTTTTTTTTTTTTTTAATGATATCTGCAGACTGAAAGTTTGAGTTATAACTGTATTTTCAGGACTAATTTTAATCCACATTCTGAAAGAATGAAAATCTACTCAGAAACCACCTTTGGCTGACGGAAGATTCTACTTTTCTACACTTTTACTGCCATCTTGTGGAAACTGTACTACACTTTACAAGCAAAGTTGCATAAAACACTTTTACACCTTCAGTACTTCAGCCTTATCTGCAGCTAATCAGATTATATTGACTTGATTTTTAACAATTATCTTACTTTGCATAAAGTATTGCTCTTTTCTTCAAGTAATATTACTTTCTCACAGAACAAAAAAAATAAAGTAAAATTAAATTACAGCTGTACCAGCTGAATCCAGCTCAGGAACAAACCAGTTTCTTAATGAGATGTAAACCTATACCAGCCAACAATATATTCCTTAAACCAACTAGACATCTCTAAGATGTTACCACTACATTCTCCTACATCAGTATTCCTGCCAGTCTTCTGCAAGAAAAATATTTATGTCCCTTTTGAAGCTTAACTTAAATAAAAAGACCTCAATTACTGCCTTGTTTACTAAAGATGCAGATATATACTACAGGAGTTTAAGTTATTCTGGGCAGCAAATATACACCAAGTCTTTCTGAAGAATTTACATACACATTATAATATCTAAATCTGTTTAAAGTCTCAGACTCCAAAGACTGCTTCACCAGATATGATAAAAATACTTACTTCAAATTCTTTAATGAAGTAACGTATTTCTCCGTGAATTACTGGTCTGTGATCCAGCAGTCTTGAGTAGATTTCCCCAACATCTAGAAGATAAATGAAAGTCAGATTTTTAGCTTTATTCGCACACTCCAAACTAGGCTACACAGCATACCATACTCCAATGTAAGAAAGACTACTGCTCTCCAAACACATGCAAAATCAAAAGGGCACCAGAACATTATTTGCTGGCTAACCTATCTATTCAGCGAACTAGCAACTTAGATAAAATGCAATGAATTGGTATTCCAGGTGCTGCCTGGAATATGTCTCCAAGATTCACCTTTCTGTGAAGGTGTATGTTCTTCTCTGTCTCTCAGCATGCTCAGTTTCAATTCTCCTCTTCCTCTTTAGTACAGCTTCCAGTGTAGTTTCAACAAGCACTTAAACTGGTACTTAGCTGGTACTGCTGTCTTCACAAAGAGCCCTACTTTTTCTGTCCAAGCTGTTGAGTTACCATGTGGAACTCCCTCTCCACTGTATCCACACGTGCCTGTTCCACACCCTGAATCCTGTCCCATTCAAAAAAAGTGCAATCATGCAATTTCCAAATTAAAATGTTTAGGTTTATGGACTATGTTATATGACCTTTCTGTTATTTTAACCCAAAGACTTAAATGGATAATTAAAATAAAATCAAACTGTATTTTCTGACAAGATTTTTATTTGAGTGGGAAACACCCTTGTCTTCAGGGATGTTATGAGACAGAAAGGGACTTGAATGGCTTCTAGGTAGGAAATCTGAGGACAGGAGCATTTTCTCTGAGCTGTTACTGGCCACTTTGAAAATCTTTACCCAGAGTACTCTTAGAAGGGTCAAAATAAGCCACATGGAAATAACAATTATTTCATATTTGCGGAACATGACTGCAGTAGATACAGCACAGGTTGAAACACTTCCAAATTCAAACGCTCCTGTGTACAGATGAACTACTCCAGAACACACGTGCCTGGGCAAACAAGATAAAAGTAAGAACTTCCCAGGGAACTTAATGCTAGTGGCAAGGACCCAGTGTCAGACTCCACTTTGCAAAGTGAAGCCAGACACCTGTCTTGGATTTGGCTTTACTTCACAAAGTAAAGCCAAATCCAAGAGACTAAGAAGCCAGTTAAGCCTCCCAGCTGCCCAGCTTCGAACGACAGACCACGCTGAGGGTGGGAAAGCAGCCACTCTTTGGGAAAGCTGGAATGCTGCCTGCCAGAAAACGACCTGGGGTGCTGACTGATGACTGCTGAACATAAGTCAGCTTGTGCTCAGGCAGCCAAGAAGGCCAAAGGCATCCTGGCCTATATCAGCACCAGTGCGGCCAGAAGGGCCAGGGCACTGATCTCCTCCACTGGTGAGGCTGCATCTCGAATACTGTGTTCAGTTCTGGGCCTCTCACAACAAGAAAGACATTGAGATGCTGCAGCAGGTCCAGAAAAGGGTAAAGAAATCTGGTGAAGGGTCTAGAGCAGGTCTTACGAGGAAAGGCCAAGGGAACTGCGGTTACTTAAGAAGGCTCTCTACAACTACCTGAAAGGGAGCAAGGAGGTGGCTGGTCTTTTCTCCCAAGTAACAACTGAGACGACAACGGGTAATGGCTTCAAGCTGCACCAGGGGAGGTTTTGACTGGATCTTAATAAACATTTCTTCACCAAGAGGGTGATCAAGTATTGGAACAGGCTGCCCAGAGAAGTGGTGGAACCACTGTTCCTGGAAGTGCACAAAATCGGTGTAGAAGAGGTCCTTAGTGACAAGGTTTAGCGATGGTCTTCGCAGTGCTAGGGTAACAGTTGGACCTGATGATCGTAAAGGCCTTTTCCAACCTAGCTGATTCTACAGCCGCCCCTCTCAAGAGGCCCCGCTAACGGCCCGCAGCCCCGCAACGGTCCAGGCGCGGTGTTTCCCCCGGCTGCTCTGTATACTGCGGGCTCGGCCACCGTAAGGAGCCACCGAGCTGGGCCGGTCCCGCTCCTTACCTTTGATGATGGGCTGGATCGGGGACCCGGCCGCCAGCGCCTCCCGCTTCCTGTCGCGGGTCCGGCTGGGGGATGCGAGGATAGCCCCGCTCATGGCCCTCAGCGCCCCAGCTCCGGCCCACGGGCAGCCCGGCCCTGCCCCGCCCGCCGAGCTTCCGCCTCGACCCAGTGCCGCGCGGTGAGGTCATCGCTGCGCGCCGGCCGCAGCGGCAGCGGCTCTTGCTGTAGTAACCGGGGCGGGCAGGGCGGCTGGCCTGGCCGGCTGCTGTCACCGGGCCACAGCGGTCACCGGCCACATCCAGATCCTCCCGCGGATCCCCCGCTGGCTGCGCTGAGGGGAAAGGTTTCTACACGGCAGGAAGGTGCTGCCGCCGTGGGGGCGATCTGCGCGGCCAGGCCGGCAGCGATTGCTCCGTCCCAAGGGGTGCGCCAGGGCGGCTCCAGCGCAGAGCCTCGGGCTCGGCTTCCTCTGAGCACAGCGCCATGCGTTCCTAAAACCAAACCAGCCAACCAACTAAACCAACCAAAGGACCAAAACGCACTCCACAGCCCCCAACAAAACAAAACACACCTGACCCCCCCCCCCCCCCCCAAAAAAAAAAAAACCCAAAAAAAAAAAAAAAAAAAAAAAAAACACAAAAAAAAAAAAAAAAAACACAAAAAACCACAAAAAAAAAAAAAAAAAAAAAAAAACCACAACCAAACCCAAAATCACCAAACCAGTACTTGGTGTTCGTTTTTTAGGAGACATGCATTCAGATAAATTAGTTTGCTGATATTTATAACAGTATATTTTCAAAGTATATAAAATATTTTCAGTGTATTTAGTATTTTTAAACTGCATAGAATATTTTCAAAGTATATTGAAAATATCTTAACATTCTTAACTCTTTTACAAGAACCCTAGCGATTTTATGTAGTTTTTGCTTTTTTGCTGGATGTAAAATAGACTGCCGTGCTTAAGTTTTGTAGCCAACATATCCAACAGTTGTAATTACAGTATAGTAAGTTTCTCTTGGGACTTTGTTTTCATGCTTCATAAGCTCAATAACTTTTAGAACAGCTTGACCCTATTTCAGTCATTGCACCTAGCATTTGTTTTCTTTAACATGTTCTTTTTTCTTCGCATTACATACCCCAATGCTCAGTGTCTTTTTATGGTCAATGAAGAAGAAATGGACCACAAATTCTTCTACAGCTGCTGCAGCCTTCAGTGTTGTGACCTGGAATACCTGAAAGGAGCCAGTTTACAATTAGTGTTTTATCAGTAGAAAGCAGTATTATACATTTCTTTATTAGAAATTAGTTATGCCCATTTCCTTCTCTGCATAGCTTTTGTAAGTAGGAGTAATTGCCTCCAAAAAAGGACTTTATTATTTTTGTTTATAGTGTGAAACTATTACACAACAGACACGCAAAAATGTTCCTATTCATAAATTGTTTCCCATCATCAAAGCTCAGAAACTGCCCACTGAAATCGCCTTTTTTTTTGACAATACATATAATCTTGTGAACTCAGTGTTAAAAATGAGTGCATTGGTTTCATTGAAACAAACTCCTCCAAAAATCAGTCTAAATGTGGTTAGAATCTGTTTAAATAATAAAATGAATCTTTGGAAAGTGTTCAATACTTCATTTAAAATATTACTAAATTCAGCATAAATATGTGCTCTAAAAGAGTTTTTCACTCCATCATTGTTACTTGGTCTGTAAATATTATATTAAATAGGTAATTAGCAGGTATAAGAATTGTTACTAAAAAATAATTGGATTTCACATCCCTACCCCCACCCCCCCCGGGTAACTACCTCTTGCAACCTATAGATCAGTATTTTTACTTTTCCACTTGGATCCAAAGCAAGTAAGCACTTGCCAATCACCAATAAATTATACTAGTACTTTTATGTTAACAATATTTGTAGGATATTCCAGCTGGTTTGATGATCACTGATAATTAGGGGTAGAATTGTTCAAATGTTAATTTTATCCCTTTCCAGTCTTCTTGTCATCCTTTCCTAGTCTTTCCCTCTAACAACTTCTTTCCCCCTCTAAGCCCTATGCTCCAGCTATCTTTTTATTTGCTGAGGAGGAAATCCTGTAGTTAAGGGGGTTTGTAACTACTGCATTTCTAGGAAAGAGTTTTTGCATTATGAGTAATGTCAGGTTCAGAACTACAGGACTGCAACAAGGACAAATTCTGTGACAGATAAGTGCATCGGTTTCTATTACTACTGTCCTGAAACCTTTTCTCCGTTTGTATACCGATTATTTATTGTTTTTTTTTTTTAAGAATATGCTTTATTTGCTGCATTTATGCCTGGTTTGTTTCTTTTTTCTTCCTCCTCTTGCTTACTCCCACTGCACTGTCAAGTTTATTTTCAAAACATATTTAAAAGAATTAAGGAGGACTTAAAGAGCGGATGGCTATAAAAAGACAATACTTGTGGAGCCCCTAACCTGTCAGTTTGTAGGAAGTAGCCATCAAGTCACAAAAATATGGAAATAGCTCTGGCTTGGAGCATGAAAATCAACATATGTAGTCATCATGTATTCTTTTGGGAGATACGCTAAACAACCTCTGTCACTTTTGCCGTGCAATGGAACCCGCTTTCTCTTTCAGGGATCACCCTGCCACTTCCCATTAGTGTTAACAGCACTCCGAATTGCAGAATCTCCAGATGAACGTGCCGAATCCTGTCATTTCCCCCACAGGCTGTCTAGCGATGATAATCCACTAAAGGATTGTTTCATCCAAGTGGCGGTGTCCGAGTCAAATGCCAGCAACAGGCAGGAAAGCCCAAACCTGTTGAGGCAGATATCTGCCAAGATGGGAGGAATGGGAGCGACGGCCCTTAAGAAGGCAAGGCGGGGGACATACTTTGCGCCAGCAGAATAAGTCCATGGGCTGCACCCGTGATGGGAGACTGAGACCATGATCGTGATGGGTGGAAGTTTGCGGGCCGCAATGCCGATGCTGGCCAAAGCAGGCCTGGGGGTGTGCTGTTTGGAGGAATGCCTTGTCAGATTAGTCGCGCGGCTACTGTATTTGATGCTCAACCTGGATGGACAGGCCTGCCAGGCAGAAACTGCTCAGGCAGATGATGCTAGGGAGGACAAAAATTATCCACCGCAAGACTAAGAAGACAGATGACACCCAGCAGGAACAGCAAGCCAAATCTGCAGAATCCACAATGCAGCTGGCTTGCCTGAGGCTACCTGCCTCTTTGAAGTGGAATAGACATCACCGAGGAGCTGTCAAATTAGATCACCAGCCTGGAAATGCTGAAAAAGACTTTGTTCTTCCAACACAGAAGGGAAAGTTTAATAGATGAAAACCTTCCTAAAGGGGCCAAGGTAGTGTGGGAGGGGAAAGGGGAATCCTTCAGATGCAGCAATGATAAAAAATTACTCACCTCCCGCCTGCCTGCAGAGTGAGAGTCGGGATGTGCCATGATCTGCAGCAGCCGCAGTGGCTACAATCACTACCAGCATGGAAAATAACGGCCTGCAGGAATGTGCACAGAGCAGCAACAAGTAACTTTGCTACAAAATCAATTCCCCCTCCCCTCCAAATCTCTGGTATCTTTACATATCTCCCTAGAGCTGGGTTCTGAAGTACTATACATCTAATACTCAAGACATGTAGCGGTGGGATGCAAAGACCCAGCCTGAATCTGAAAGCTTGTGCAGCAGAGGTGCATGATGGCACCTCTCCTCACTCATCTTTTGCAATAAAGCACAAAAGAAGTGTGTAGCACAATTCAATTTTGATAAATCTAGAACAAAAAATAACATTACCAAGTGATTAAGCATGTGCTCAGGTGTATGGCGACTATGAAACCTGGCATAGCCATTAGGGAGAGCAGCAGCACGATCCAATTATAGATGCAAAGAAGAAATTCTGCTTTTAGGGGGAAAATATTAAACATATTAATCCATTAAGTAGCTGCATCATTACAATTACACTTTGAAGTTAAAGACCATGAAACATACCAAAGATTAAAAGAAATGATAGGATTGAAAGTGAAAAGGAAAAAAAAAATATATAGAAAAGAAAATCACATACTAGAGTCTAGGTCTGCTAGACCTTTGAAAAGAGCATACACTGGATTTCTTGACAATGACTTTATAGTTGCATCTATTTATTTTCATCTTTCTCAGCTAATCTCTTGTGAAGCACTTTGTCCTTACATCTTCCAAATCCATAGCACTGGGGAGCAGAGTTTTGATCATCTGTTGCCTTTTAACGAAGAGAATAAAGATGCCCAAGTTCTATAGCTGTTTTCATCTGTGACATCACTTGAGTGTATTTTATTTCACAGACAAAAACATGTTAACACTTCTAAGCTGCATTTTCATATAAAATAGTTAAGATAAATGTCTTACTTGAATTGCAAAGTTCTTGTATGCATCTTAAATCCTAGTGTCTCAGCTCCCTGCTAATAACCCAGGATCCACACCCACACCGAAGAGTCTAGATTACTCTTCCATGAGTTATACTTTAAATAAACAGGTGGACATGCATGTGAGAGAGAAAGCAAGCAAAGTTGAATAATTATTTTATCAAGATACCCAAATGAACTACACCACCTTCTGGGAAGTTTAATATGTACCATAAAAAAAAATAAGTTACCCATTTCTAGGCCTGTGTATTTCCAAAGATTCAGACAATAGCAAGAAATTCCTGGGAGAAAGGCTATGTCAGTTTAAAAATATTTTGAAGAGGGCAGGGTAGGCTATGAAGAAGGATTACAATATCAAAAAACAAGATTAAAAGGATGTGAAAGTATCACCTCTTACATGCTAACAGCTAAGGTGCTAGCTAGGAGACTTCAATCTCTGGTAATTCCATAGGAGCAACTGTTTTGAAAGGAAGTCCCTACTGTGGGTGGGCAGCGAAGAAAAGTAAGCGACTTTGCGTGATGGGACTGTTTCAATTGTTAACCTGAGGTGGTATCTCCTAACTTGTTTTCTGTGTAGAAAACTGGGATGTCAATCGGATAGGTAAATCACTGACAACACAAAAGGAACTCACCCCTCCCCCTTAAATGTATTACCATTGTACACTTAATCTATCACAGAAAAAAAAAAAACAAACAAAAAACTCTTTACAGGTTTGCTGCTGAAAAGCCTTTGC